ATAGTGATCCCAGAAGATACAGGGGGTTATTTCAACTTTTTTGTATCTGTTGAGATTTGCTTTGTTACTGAGTATTTGGTCAATTTTAGAGACAGTTCCGTGGAGTGCTAAGAAAAGGTATATTATTTTGTGTTTGGGTGGAATGTTCTATTGATGTCGGTTAGGCCCATTTGAGTCATAACATCTGTTAGATCCCTTATGTCTGTTAATTTTTTGTCTGGCCAACCTGTCCAGTCCTGAGAGTGAGGTGTTGAAGTATCTCACTATTAGGGTGTGGGACTTGATATATGGCTTAAGTTTTAGTAATGTTTCTTTTACAAATGGGGGTGCCCTGGTATTGGGGGCATAGTTGTTCACACTTAAGACTTCATCTTGATGGATTTTTCCTGTGATTAATTTGAAATGACCTCTTCATGTCTTTTAACAAATTTAGGTTGACATCTATTTTGTTAGATATTAGGATAGCTACACCAGCTTCTTTCTTAGGTCCATTTGATTGGAAAACATTTTCCCAATCCTTTACTCTGAGATAATGTCTGTCTTTATAGTTGAGGTGTGTTTCTTGTATGCAGTAGAATGATGGATTCTGTTTTTGTATCTTATCTGTTAGCCTGTGTCTTTTTATAGGTGAATTGAGTTCATTGATATTAAGGGATAATAATGACCAGTGATTGCTAGTTCCTGCTGGTGGTGTGTGTGTGTGTGTGTGTGTGTGTGTGTGTGTGTGTGTGTATGTGTATGTGTATGTGTGTGTGTGTGTGTGTTTCTCTTCTTAAGGGTTTGCTGGTGTGGGGATTATCTATTGCCTGGTTTTTGTGGGTGTAGCTAACTTTCTTGAGTTTGAGTTTTCTTCTAGTACTTTCTATAGGGCTGGATTTGTGGCTAGGTATCGATTAAATCTGGTCTTGTCACGGAATATCTTGTTTTCTCTGTCTATGGTTATTGAAAGCTTTGCTGGATATAGTATAGTAGCCTGGGCTGGCTTCCATGGACTCTTAGTGTCTGGATAATGGCTTACCAGGACTTTCTGGCTTTCATTGTTTCCATTGAGAAGTTGGGTATAAATCTGATAGGTCTGCCTTTATATGTTACTTGGCTTTTTTCCTTTGCAGCTCTTAATATTCTTTCTTTATTCTGTATGTTTACTGTTTTGATTATTATGTGGGAAGGGGACTTTTTTTTTTTTTGGTCTATTCTATTTGGTGTTCTATAAGCTTCTTGTACTTTCATCGGTATGTCTTTCTTTAGGTTGGTAAAGTTTTCTTCTATGATTTTGTTGAATATATTTTCTGTGCCTGTAAGCTGAACTTCTTGTTCTATCCCTATAATTCTTAGGTTCAGTCTTTTCATGGTGTCCCAGATTTCTTGGATATTTTGTGTTAAGAGTTTGTTGGATTTAATATTTTCTTTGACCGATGATTCTATTCTATTGTATCTTCAACAGCTGAGATTCTCTCTTCCATCTCTTGTATTCTGTTGTTTATGTTTGCATCTATAGTTCCTGACCATTTGCCCAGATTTTCCATTTCTGGAGTTTCCCCCATTTTGTGTTTTCTTTATTGCCTCTATTTCTGCTTTCAAGTCTTGAACCATTTCCTTCACCTGTTTGGTTGCTTTTTCTTGGTTTTCTTTAAGTGATTTGTTGATATCTTCCAATTTTTTTGTTTGTCTTTTCCTGTATTGGGAGGTTCAGGTCTTGTTGCTGTAGAACCACTAGTTTCTGGTGGTGCTGTGTTGCTCTTTGTGTTGTTGAGTATGTTCTTACCTTGTTGTCTACTCATCTCTTCCTCCATTTGATACAGGTGTTTCATTGGGATCCTCTTTTTCCAATTGGTAGAGCGGGGCTGTGGAACTATTGAACGTTCCTTCAGGTGCAGACAAAGCTGACACTCTGGTGATCTCTCTCCTGGTTAGATGGGTCCAAGTGTCAGATGGTCGCTCCTGGGTGCACAAGGAGCCATGGCTCCAGTAGTCACTCCTTCAGGTGCAAGTGGAGCCTTAGCTCCAGTGATTGATCCTCTAGGTGCAGGCGGAGTAGAGGCCGAAGCTCCAGCTCAGTGTTCAGATAGTTTCTGGAAGTTGTTCTTAAGATTGTTTCTGGCAGCTGCTAATGTGATCTATCTACCTAACTATCTATCTATCTATCTATCTATCTATCTATCTATCTATCTCTCCTCCCCCCACTCTGACTTCCTGGCTGCTTGGCTAGTCACAAGCTCTTTCTCACCCGGTTTCAACCACATTAACCCATATTTTTACCTAAGTTTTGCCATGTGGCTTGGTACCTTTTCTCAGTATGCATGTCTATCATGCTTCTCTCTGTGTCTGCTTGCTACTCCTGACTCCACCTCCTTCTTCCCATCATTTTCTGTTTGGCTCTTCCCCAACCTTATCCTGTCCAACTGTTGACCAGTTAGCTTATTTATTAAACCAGTCACAGTGGCACACGGTGTAAAAAAAAGTTCTACATTTTATTTTATTCTTCAGGATTGTTTTGCTTGTGCTTTATCATTTGTATATCCATATGAAATGTAAGATTTTTCTCATTTTCTGTGAGTAACTGTTTGGAATTTTGATTACACTGAATCTTTAGGTTGCTTTTGCTTTTGGTAAGGATGTCCATTTTCACAGTATTAATCTGTGTTGTGTCCCTCTGTGTTTTTAATTTTAGCTGTTTCTTTTTTAAATCAGGTGCCCCTGTGTTTGGTAAATGTGTTTATAATTGTAATATCTTGTTGATGCATTTCTTTAAATATTTTATTTATTTATGTGTGCTTTGGTGTTTTGCCTGAACATTGTCTGTGCGAGGGTTTCAGTTACCTGGAATTGGAGTTACACACAGTTGTGAGCTTCTGTGTGAATGCTGGGAATTGAACCCTGGTCCTCTAGAAGAGCAACCAGTGCTCTTAACCGTTGAGACATCTCTCCAGCCCCAATGCATTTTTTAAGAATATGAAATTTTCCTCCCTGTCCCTTCTGGCTGATTTTGCTTTGAGGTATATTTTGTTGATATTAGAATAGCTTTGCCTGCTTTACTCTAAGGTTGTGTCTTATCATTGGCAATGAGGTATGTCTCTGAGAAGTAATGAAAGGATGGACCATTTTCTCATACAATCTGTTAGTCTGGGTCTTTTTATTGAGGAATTTGAACCATTAATATTCAAAGTTATTATTGAATGGTGTATATTAGTTCCTGTTGTTTTGTTGACTTAGTAGTGCTTTCATGGATCTCTTTTGATTGTTTGACCTGGCACGTTCCCTCGGACATGTTCATACTTCTCTTCAGATTGATATATTCCTTTTAGGAGCCTTTGTAGTACAACCTTACTAGTCCTAAGTTCTTTTGACCTGTTTTTATCATGCAAAACTTTCACTTAAAATTAAAATTTTAATTTTAATAACCTAGATTAGCAGTTGTGGTCTTTCAGGACTTGGAATACATCTTTCCAGCTATATTCTGGATTTAAAGGTTTCTGTCAGGTTTGTTCTAATAGGCCTGCCCTTGTAAGTGACTTGCTCTTTCTCTCTTTCACCTTTCAGTGTCCTTTCTTTACTCACTGTTTTCAGTGTTTGCAGTAGTGAGAGTGAAGAGCATCTCCCAGACTTCGTGTATTTCAACACTTGGTTCCCAGTTGATGGCACTGTTTGAGGATGGTCTAGGTGGTTCAGTCTTACTGGGAGAAGAAGTATGTCACAGGGGGTATAGCCTCACCCTACCTCCAGTTGGTGGCACTGTTTGAGGATGGTCTAGGTGGTTCAGCCTTACTGGGAGAAGAAGTATGTCACAGGGGGTATAGCCTCACCCTACCTCCAGTTGGTTCCCTCTGCTTCATGCTTAGGGTTGCTTTCATTTCTGGACACCATGCCCTCTCTGTGATGGGCTCTTAACCCTCTAGATTATAAGTTAAAATAAACTGTTAGAGTTTTTCATTTTCAGTATCATTTCAGTTTGGTTTTCTTTAAAAATTCAAGCTACTTTCATGTCTTCATGGATTTACTTTTTTTTATTTCATTCATCTTTTTGTCTTTTTGGAGTTGTTTGACCATAACTGTAATCACTCTTTTGAATTCTTTGAGAGGTCTTCCATATTATTTTTAACAGGAGCCATTATTATGGGATTTATATTTGGGAAAAGAGACATGTTATTTTGTTTTTGCTTTTTGTTTGTTTTTTTTCTTTTTGGTTGTTGTGTGTGTGTTTATTTATGTTTTGAGATTTGTGCATCTGAACTTAGTTTGTTGGTCTTGAAAGGAAGAAATGGCCTGAATCTTCCAGTCACATAGGCTGGCTAGAGTCCCATGTGGAGAGCAGCCTGAGAACTTGTAAATCCCAAACAGACAGAGATGGGCCAGAGGAGGTAGAAGTCTCTAGCAAGTAGTCATTGAAGGGGCCTGTGAACTTGAGTGCAGGTAGGCTACCTGTGTCTCTGTGCAAAGTGGGAAGGATGAAGGGTCCCTGGCAGGGAGGGTTCTGGGTTCTGGTGAGTCCCCAAGAGAGACAGAGTGGCGGGAAAATGCCATTTGTTGTCCTTGGCAAACAACCTTGAAGTAGCCAGAATGGAAGGTGACTTTATTGAAGGGAAACTCAGTATCTCCGTGTCATATGGGCAGCGATATGAGGCATTTTAAATGCATATTCTCTGGCTTCTCCCAGCATTGTGATTTCATAGACTTGGGGTGGGGGTGGGAGGCACTCAGAAACCTGCACTTTCCCAAGCACCTCAGATGGGTAATGCTGCTATGCTTGGTAGGAAACACTGCCATTGATGAAAGTTCTTTTTTACATTGCAGTTTTGTGTTGGCTAACCTCATTTTTAAATATTCCTTTAAAAACCTTGATTGCAGCAGTTAGTGAGATGGCTCAGTGGTGAAGGACTTGTCACCAAGCCCAATGACCTGAGTGCTGCAGGTTGTCCTCTGACCTCCATGCTCACATGCACATACAGTAAATAAATAAATGTAATAACTGTGTTTACAAATAAACATCTTGCTGATTACAGAAACAGAAGATCTGTGGAAACCTGACCCTGCAGCACCACATGCTGGAGCCTATTCAGCGGATCCCGCGCTATGAGATGCTCCTAAAGGACTACCTGAAGAAGCTGTCCCCTGACTCCCCAGACTGGAATGATGCGAAAAGTAAATGCTTTTAATCTCCCTCAACAACGGCAGGATGATGCAGCCAGGGCCACCAGGACATGCCAAGTGCATGATTCAGTATTCAGTATTCTAGATCCAAAGATTCATTTTTGCTCTAAGTTATAGACATAAGACACTACATAAATCCTCCTGGCTTCCCTTTGCTAAGATAATCCTAGAAGATGGGCTTTTAGAGTCCCAAGAGTAGAAGATGAAGCAACAAAAGTATGCTCTGCTCAGCAATGCAAAGAACATGGAAAATGTGGGCCCAGAGAAATGGGGCTGTCGCTGCCTGGCTTAGGACTGGGAGGTGCTCCCAGGGGTTGCCCAGCACAGGTCTCTGCCCCACAGCTCTCCACACCACATTCCTCCCTTCCATTTCCCTCCCAGCACCGTCAGGATGTAAAGCCCTCAGACTCTCTCCATCGGAATCAGGCCGTCATGCTTCCCCAAAGAAAGCTGTTTATATTTAGTAGGCAAACTGTAGCATCAGAAGTCTGAGTCTTATGACCTAGGGCCCAGTCACATCACTTCCTCCTTCCTATCATGTGGCAAAAGGAAATGAAAGAACTCGGCAACTGGAATGACAAGTTCCTAGGCAACTGCCTTCCAAAATGGTCCATGTACTCCTTTAGTTGTTACTAGTACCAAGCTTTACATATATATGGTTTAATTTGTTAATTAGACATTAGCACTATATAATAAATAGAATAATTTAACTGTGATATAAGAAAATTTAAATTTATGACTTTTTTACTGGCAACTTCTATTTGGTATTTCTAAGCCACAACAAATTGGCAGATGGTGTGGGACTTCTGTTTATATGAAATCAACCCTGGTAAAGTGCCTCAAACCTGGTATGTACACTGTAATTTGCAAGGTCATTTCTAAGGTTTATTATATATTAAATTGCATGTGAGTCTAATCATCACATGCATCATTTTGCAAGTGAAAGTGTAGATAAACTGTTGTCAAGTAACTGTGGAAACTGCATGCCAGAGACCTTGTTGTCCTTGATCTCTGTTTCTGTTACCCTAGTAACACAGGATGGACAGAACATTTATTTACTTTTCTCTTTCCCATTTAGAGTCACTTGAAATTATATCTACAGCAGCAAGCCATTCTAATAGTGCAATAAGGAAAATGGTAAGTGGCTTTTAGAGGATGTGGGAACCTTCTGACTATGCTGCAGGTGGTAATACAGCCTCTGGCTGTTGTAGATTTAGACCAAAGTGAACAGATAGAGGTGAGCGGGAAAGTGTTTACCAACTGCTGATCCATTCCCCTTTCCTTAGTATCCACTTTATTGCTGCATTTTATACCAAAATGTAAGCTCATTGTCAATGTCTATTCAGTTATGTAGATTTTAGTTCAATTTAAATTATCTTCTTATAGTTAATCTTGCTGTATTTTGTTTTAATTTCCCAGGAGAACCTGAAGAAACTCTTAGAGATTTATGAGATGTTGGGAGAAGAAGAAGACATTGTAAACCCTTCAAATGAACTAATAAAAGAAGGACAAATCCTCAAACTAGCAGCTCGGAACACATCAGCACAAGAGCGCTACCTCTTCTTAGTAAGTCCAATAGTGGCAGCTGTTTGCACACCGACAGTTCACTAAAACTCCTGTACATGTCTTGGAGAAGTGACACGCTCACTTGCTTCCATAATAATTACATCCCGGGGAGGGAGAGGGAGAGGGACGTGGGATTGACATGTGAAGCAACTTTGTTTCTAATTTAAATTTAAAAATTACAAGAGACATAAATAAATAATAATAATAATAATAATTATATCCCACCTGCATAGTCAACGCTGGTGGTATTGTCTGTGAGAGTATATTAAGAACTGTAACCAGTATTTCCCTTACACTTGTGAGCTGATCAACTGCAATAATGCACACTAAAGACGAGGTAGCCTTTCCGTGCCTGTACCCACGGTGCACAAGTGGACACGGTTCCGCTTCTGAAAGCCTCCTTTGCTTGATCTTGGTTTTGTCTTTCCTTTTGTTCTTAAGGGCTAATGAGTATTGCTATTTCCTGTTTGACCACTGTTGCTGCCAAACTTTCCTGTGACAATTGTCCCCCAACCCTTTACAGTCAGCAGTCTGAACTGCAAATTGTCTGTGGCACAGTGGGCGTCCGTCCCTTCCTTGGCGTTCTGAGGAAGGCAGTTCATCTAGGACCTACTCAAATAGGGGGATACACTGACCAGTTATTTGTTCAGTTTCTGCCCGTAGTATCTTTGTTGTTTGTTACTGAGATGAACTCTGACTCTCTCTATGCCTAAGAAGATAAAACAGATCATAATAATGGCTTGCAGATAATAAGCTAACATTGAGTAACAACTCAGTGAATGTTATCCGTTGTGATTATTGTTGATAAGGTAGTAGCAAGCCTGTCTAGGGCACCTTCTTGCTGACAAGCATTCATTTCACCATCTCTATTGAGTTGTCTTATTTTACCATCTCTAATAAGTTGTCTTCAAGGCCTGAGAAATTCTAGATTATTTCTGTCTTCATTTGAAAAAAATTATAGGGATTGTCGTAGAAATTTTTTAAATCCCAGTGTTTTTAAATTTTTTATTACATATATTTATTTGTGTGTAAATGTTTGGGTATTACTGTGTGCGGATATGTGTGTGTTTGAGTGTGGGTGTGAGTGAGTATATGGGGGGTGAGTGTGTGGTTTGAGTGTGTGGGGGTGAGTGGGTCAGTGAATATATGGATTAGTGTGTGAAGGTAAGTGGGTGAATATGTGGGGGCCAGTGGGTGAGTAAGTGTGGGGGGTATGGGTATGTGGATGTGATGTGCGGTGAGGGGCATGGGGTGAGTGGATATATCTCTATGTGTACACATCCATACCACAGTATGTGCAGAGGCCACAGGAAAGATTACAGGAGTAAGTTCCCTCCCTCTGTGTGGATTCTGGGGCTCACGCAGGCTTAGTGTCAAACTTCTTTACCTGCCTAGCCATCTCAGCAGACTTGTGGTTTTTGTTTTTCTTTTTTTTTAAAGAACATTTTGTTAGTACACTACTCAACTGTTTCAATTCTAAGATTGTTTACTCAAAAACTTAAAAAATGAATAGCCATTCAAAGTATGGCCTATTCTAAGCAATGAAATGGTTCTGTCAATAAAGGATAAGTTCATAACTTCTTCAGTTAACCTACTGCATCTGTTTAGGGTTGCTTGTATGTACATGTGCTTGGGGTTGACCTCTTGAGATTGGATAGCGCCATCAGGCAGCTTGTCCCTGAAGAAAACTGAGTCTCTATTATCTACAGATAATAGCTCTTCCATCCACGTCGGCATGTCAGCTAATATTATCGTTATGCAAGTAATCATATTGCTGAGATTTCATAAGTGTAGCTTCCCTATAGAGACAATATTGAGTAGCAGGCATCCTGGTCCTTTGCCTCTTACACTCTTTCCTGCATCTGTTCCATGATGTCCTATAAGCCTTGGGTGTAGGGATGATGTTGTAAACGTATCCTTTAGAGTTGAGCACCTCACAGGCCTTATTCTCTATGTCTTGACCAGTTGTGGACCTCTTTAATAGACTCCATCTGTTGTAAAAATGAATTTCTTTGATGAGGGGCAAGAGCTACATTTATCTGTGGGTATAAATCTAGTTGTTTAGTATGCATTTAGAAATTATATTGTTAAGGAAACTGATAGTAGAAGAGTCTTCTAGGGTCTATGACCTCTCCATCTACAGGTAGTTGGTTATGTTCACAATTCCAGGTATGAATTCTCTCCTATTGTGTGGGCCTTGAGTCCAGTTAGATAGTTGCTAGCTACCTCCAAGATAAAAATACCACTATTGCAGTATTGGAGATATTTTTCTGGGCCAGTTACCCAATAATAATTTTAGGTATTGTCCAAATATACTGTAAAAAGTAATTTTTGCTAAGCAGAAGTACTTTGTTTTTCCTAGGTTATAGTTTTATACATAGCAAAATAGGAAACAAAAGCATACAATAATCATACCAGCATTCCAAGTTCTATTCAGAAGTCTATTACAAAATATAGGTTTCATTATTGTTCAGATGAGAACATGATGGCCATTGAAAATACTGATCCCAAGAGGAGGAACCATGTGCCATGGAGAGGAGGCAATAGAGAAGCTCCTAGAATTGGTGAAGAGGCAGAGAGAGCAATCACAAGTGAGCAAGAGCCTTCGTGGGTCACAAAGGAAATAAGAAGGGCCAAGGGGAAGGCTTTGACTCCCAGGTTTGAGCAGTTTCAGTGGGATCTGAAGCATAGGGGTCACTGTTCAATACCTACCCTTCAGGTGACAAGGGTAGGGTTGGTAGCTCAGGTAAATAAACAGTACTTGAAAACTGCCTCAGCTCTAGTTGGCTAAATGGGAAGGTGTGTTCACATTTAGCACTGTGGACTGAGTGATCCCTTTAATGTCAGTAAGATGTGAAAATGTAAAAGCATCAAATATAGGGAATAGAAAAAGCTGCTTGTGCTGTCTTTTCCTCTCACCTCCAAAGAGTCACTAATATAGAATGCAGAAAGGTGGGGCTGGAGAGATGGCACAGAAGTTAAGAGCACTGGCTGCTCTTCCAGAGGGCTTGAGTTCAATTCCCAGCAACCACATGGTGGCTCACAACTATCTGTAATGAAATATGGTGTCCTCTTCTGGCTGGCAGGGTTATATGCAGACAGAACACTGTATAATAGGTAAATAAATAAATAAATAAATAAATAAATAAATAAATAAATAAATAAGAATGCAGTAAGGTAGTTGAGTAACAAATTGAGTGCTTTCTGGTTTGTTTTTTAAGAATCTTAGTACTATTTCATGCACATAGCATCTTTTGATCATATTCAATCCCTTTTACCTTGTCATAACTGCTCCTATTAAATTGACCTCTCTTTCCCAGCATATCTATCTATCCCTCACTCCCTCCCTGCCTCTCCTTTCATTTTCTTTTTTGTGACCTGATGGCTTTAATTAGGATTGCTTAGATAAGTATGAGAAAGAAGTTATATATTGAGTATAGAGCATTATATACACCTAAAGGAAATGACTCCCCTTTCCCCAGGGATGGTGAGATTTTAGCAGGATCTACTTTGTGCACATCTTATACAGATATCCACAGCTTCTGTGAGTTCATGAGTGTAGCAGATAGTGTCCAGAAGACAGGGTTTCATGGCACTCTCCTGTCCTCTGGCTCTTACTAATTCTTTTCTCCCTCTTTTGTGATATTCCCTGAGCCTTGAAGTAGGAGATGAATGCAGATGTCTATTTAGAGTTGACCTCTCAACAGTCACCTAATTTTCAACATCTTGAATAGACATGAATCTCTGCATTCACTGCAAAGAGAAGCTCCTCTGATCAGGGCTGAAAGTAGCCTTTGTTAATGTACATAAACATAAATAATTCCAAAGCAGCGTGACAGCATGTCCATTTAACCACACAACAGTAGTAAGTACCACGTGGGGGTTTTTGACACATTTTCCTCTTTTAGAATCCAAATCCAATCAGAAAGCATTTGGTTACTCCTGTGTCAGTCATGCTACTATTGCATGGCAGGTACATCTTATCTAACAGGTTGATGTTGTAGCTCACAAGGCCACATGGGGATGAGACCATTGATGGCTTCTGTCCTCAGCAGCCTACATAGCACCTTCCAGTACTAGAAGCTAGCCAATGAGGAGGAAGCTTCCAGCTCAGTTTTCCATTTCTCTATACCTGTATCCAGAATGTGGGATGTATCCAGCAATAGGGTCTTTTTTTTTTTTTTTTTTTTTTTTGTCTTCTGAGAACAACATTGTCTCCCATTTTAATTTTAAATAGCTTGTTTTACATGTCAATCCCAGTTCCCTCTCCCTCCCCTCCTCCCACACCCTCCATCCCCCCCATCCACCCACCCTATTGCCAATTCCTTCCGCATAAGGGATATCTAGAGTCTATCATTTCACTCAGGGTAGGGTCCAGGCACTTCCCTAAGAGTCCAGGCAGAGAGAGCATCCCTCTTTGTGTTATGGACACACGATGTCTGTTAGTATTCGAGGGATAAACACTGATCCACTGCTCAGGACCCCATAGGTAGCCCAGGCCTCCTCACTGACTCTCACATTCAGGGGGTCTGGATCTGTCCCATGCTGGCCTCCCAGCTGTCTGTCTGGGGTCCAAGAGCTCTCCCCTGTTCGGATCAGCTGTCTCTGCTGGTTTTGCCAGCCCATTCTTTGCCAATTTGCTCATCGCTCCTCTCTCTCTGCTGGGAGCAATAGGGTCTTACCAAGTAGTTCTAATGTGCAACCAAGAGCAGTGGTACTAGCACCTGTTGATGCTACATTTTTTTTTTGATAGTTTGAGTAGCAATGGAGAGTAGACTGTGAACCTGGAACTCATGCGAAGTGTTACTTTTCGATGTGTCATTTTGGAAGAAGAGAAAGGTGTAAAGTATATTATGTGGAGAAAGGCTGTTCAGATGTGTGATATGCGTTGTCTGACTCCTGCAGCCTAGTGCTTACCCACATCTATCCCTTGGCTTAAGCTCCACCTTACAAAAAATGCTAAATGAGTCTTCATTTTCTTGTATAACAGACCTCTGAATATTTGAAGTCACTTATTTTGTCTCACAGTTCAGTCACCCTTTAGTTATTTTTTATGCATTTGTTCAATGAATATTTAATTGCATTCTGAGAAAACATCCATGTGTGGTAATATATGCCCAAGGGAATCTAAGACAAGACTGGAAATTCAAGACCTATCCCGGTTAAATAGCAAGACAATGGAGAGAAAGAGAGAAAAGTTATATATTTTAAGTAATAAATTCAGTGGCATTTCTGTCCAGAGTTACATTTGTCAGACTTTTATTTTCTTGATCTTCCTGTTTATTAATTTGTATTCTGTCTCTTTCTTTGCAGTTCAACAACATGTTGCTATATTGTGTGCCCAGATTCAGCTTGGTGGGCTCAAAATTCACAGTTCGAACCAGAGTTGGCATTGATGGGATGACAGTCGTGGAGACTCACAATGAAGAATATCCACACACTTTCCAGGTGTCTGGGAAAGAACGAACCCTGGAGCTGCAGGCCAGGTAAGAAGGCCACTCCCACCACAGCTACCTAAAGACATCGGGAGGCGTAAATGACCCGAAGGGTTTGTCGTCCTTGTTGTTTTATACAGCGAATGCCCCAAACTTCTGGAAATGTGACTAGCTGTAAGTAGAAACTGGGGCTCATTGAGACAACATGCTTTTCCTCTGATCCCTGTATTGCCTAGGACAGAGGTATGTGTACAGGAGGCATCAGTCAGGTGACTGTAGAGTGGCAGGGCACTTAAGGCTGCCGCAGTTTAGTCTTGAGACCTGTAGGAAGAGATGTCGCATAAATAATAAAAACCCAGAGACAGATATTGGGGTTCAAGCTGAAGATCAGAGAAGCAAATTAGCCGACCACTAGCTATTACCTCTACCTCAGGCTGAAAGGGCTGCCCTGTCCTCAGCATGGCTGGAGAATAAATCTCTGAGACTGAATACTGAATTCCCAATTCCTATCTTATATACCTCTCTAGACCTGAGATTAAAGGCATGGGACCCCAAGTGCTTAGATCTTTGTGTAAGCTGTTTCTCTTTTAGACTGATTCACTCTTATGTAGCCTAGAGGGTGGTCTTAAACTCTTGTCTCCTGAGTCCTGGGATTAAAGGTGTGTGCCACCAGCACCCAGCTTCTATAGCTAACTGGTGTGGCTAGTGATTTAAAGGTGTGTGTCACCACTGCCTGGCTCTATGGCTGTGGCTGGCTTTACATCTGATCTCCAGTGCTCTATTCGATCATAAACAATGTATTACCACAAAGACTTCCCTGCACCTCCTCCCACAGCATTAGTTCATGATGTTTACTCCATTCTGAAATTTCCAGCCCTGATGACAATGTAATGCAAAGACAAGCCCATGGGCAGGAGGAAATGCAGCAGGAGACAGAGCACACCACCAGGGAAACATGCTGGGTCACACTGCACTGGGAGAAGAAAGGGAACCGGAATATAAAACAATAAAAGGGAGCAGGAGAGGTGACTCAAGTGCTCAGAGCACTTGCTGCTCTTCCAGAGGAATGGAGTTTGGTACCCAGGACCTGAGTTTGGCTCCTAGCATCCATGTCTCACAACTGGCCGCCGCTGGCCCTGCACACACAATGAGGCATCACTTGTATATTCAGGCACATGTATGTGTGCATAAAATAATAAATAAATCTTTTAAAAGCATACATTAAAAATTCAATCAACTCCTACATGTCGCCTTCAAAACCTAGAAATCCTGTAGTAAGTACCAACAATGAGAGCAATTTGCAATAACTTCAGACAAAGAATTTTTAAGTAATTTTTATATGATATGTTCTCATCACAGTTTCCTCTCTGCAGTGCCTCTCCATTCCTTCTTACCACACCACACAACCAACTCCATTCTCTCTCTGTATCTCTCTTTCTCTTTGCCTCTCTCCCTCTTTCTCCCTCAGAAAACAAACAGGCAAACAAACAAGAATTTTAAAAAGTTAAAAAAGAGAAAGCACAAGAAAGAAATACACACAAAATTGGAAACTATAATATACAAACAAGAGACAAAAAAAGTGGTATGGGATGAAAGGTGTATAAAAAATACCATTGGGTTCACTTTGTATTGGCTGTCTTCTGCTGGACATGGGACCTACCCTTAAGCCGGTTAATATCACAGTGAGATTGCACTGGAGAAAAGTAGTATTTCCTTTGCAAGTGGCTGTGAACCAGAGACAGCTTCTTGTTTAGAGATGGAAGCTCGTCGGGCAGAGAATTGAGCATGAGCAAAGAGCCCAAGGAGGGTATGAGTACAGTCTAAGAAAACACAGTTTAGCCAGGCGTTGGTGGCGCACGCCTTTAATCCCAGCACTTGGGAGGCAGAGGCAGGCGGACCTCTGTGAGTTCAAGGCCAGCCTGGTCTACAAGAGCTAGTTCCAGGACAGCCTCCAAAGCCACAGAGAAACCCTGTCTCGAAAAACCGAAAAAAAAAAAAAAAAGAAAACACAGTTTAGTGAAGCAAAGAAGTCAATTCAGGATATGCAAATAGAATTCAATAAAGGATAGAAATGTTGAAGGAAAGCCAAGCTTAGTCTGATAAAAAACTCAAATAGAAAACCAGTTCAATGGAGAAACTAGCTAGCAGTGTGGATCATGCAGAGAACACATTGTGGCTTGAAGACAGGGAAAAGGAGTGGATCACTCACTCAGTCAAGACCCATCATAAATTTAAAACATCAACAAATTAACAGAACATGGGAGAACTTTGAAACATCATGAAAGATAAAAAAAAACATTCTATGAAATATGGTCAGAGAAATATATGCCAAAGACAAAACATCCCACTGTCAAACTACTCCCATATCCCATGCTCTCAAATCAACATAGTCTCTTCTTTGATATTGTTGCATGTATGTGCATATATGTGTGTGTGTGTGTGTGTGTGTGAATATGTGTGTGCACACATGTACGTGTGCGTGAACAAATATATATATATATATATATATATATATATATAACCTACAGAGCCCATTTAACATTATTTCTATGCATGTATCCTGGACTGGCCATTTAGGGTTAGATGACCTATGTGAGAGCTCATTCCTAGGGACTGACTCTCCCTCTATTAGCAGCAGTGGTCAACTATAGCTCTCCCTCTAGGAGTGAGCCTTGTAGATCTTCCCTTATCCAAGTTGGCATGTCAACTACTATTGTCATTATGTTGGCCTTGTTCAGGCAACCATATTGTGGAGATGTCCTGGGTGTGTTGTCTCTGTCATGCTTAGGAGACACAATCTAACAATACTTGTCCTGGTCATACTGCACTGTTTTGTTTTTCTTTTAGTTCTGAACAAGACAAAGAAGAATGGATCAAGGTAACTCCTTTACATTTGTTTTCATTTTTTGGACCTCTGTGAATAAGAAATACATACACTGGGCCCTGGAGAGATGGCTCAGTGATTAAGAGCACTTGTTACTAGATTTAGTTCCCAGGACTTACATGGTGGCTCACAGCCATCCCTAACTCCAGTTCCAAGGACGCAATGCCCTCTTCTCACCTCTGTGGATACCAAGCTTAGGTGTGGAACAAAGTACATGCATCAGGCAAAACACTCAGTAACACATTTCTAAAATGAAATACACATATTTAGGTTTTTTTAAATACACATATAAGAACAAGCTCATTACAGTTATTTATGTGACAAAGTATATTTATTAATGTGTATGTGAAATTGTAATATGTGTTTTAATTTAATTTCTATTTTAGGCCCTTCAAGAAAGTATTGATGCTTTTCATCAAAGGCATGAAACCTTCAGAAATGCAATTGCAAAGGATAATGATATCCACCTAGAAGTGTCTGTAAGTTTTTAACTTAAATCAGAAGCTCTATCTAGTTATTCTCTTAACAAACCTTCTCCCTTTCAATGCCACAATCGGTGATCTAGAAATAATACCGTTCTCTCTTGGGTGGATACCTTGCAGTGCTTTGAAAGTCTCGCTTCCTTTCCTAGATTTGAGTATGAGAGCATACTTTGAACAGCATTGTTAGCATGCTATTGAAAAGTCAACCCGTCTCTCCCATTTAGACTGCTGAGCTGGGCAAAAGAGCCCCAAGATGGATCCGTGATAACGAAGTGACGATGTGCATGAAGTGCAAAGAGCCCTTCAATGCGTTGACGAGAAGGCGGCATCACTGCCGGGCATGTGGACACGTGAGTGTGGGTCCTGCCTGTTACAGTTGCTGGGAACTACATAGGTGAGATAAAATCACCAGCCTGGAAACAAAGAAATCATTAACAATCATTAGTAAGCCTCTGTTGGAACCAAGTATGTGCAAAGTACTGTGCTGTCCCAAGAGGAAAAAAGAATATGGTAAACAAAAAAAAATCCTGACTTCATGGAGATTACATTGTGAAGAAGAAAATAGATAAGAATTCAGATTAGTACAAGTGGAATAAGAAAGCAACCACAAAGTTGTATTGGAGAGTATTAGTAATGGAAGAAAATTTCCGACCAGATCTAATTAGACAAAAGAAGGCCCATCTGACAGACTGATGTTTGCTTAGATGACTAAAGAGGTGCTTTGCACACAAGGAGCTGTATCTACATCCCCTGCAGTAGGACAGCCCTGAAATTGCTAGGAAAGCCTGTAGCCAGGTAGTTTACAAAACGGTGTGACACAGATGTAGTTAAAGTGATAATAATCAAAGAAATAGAATTGGTTGAGAAGGCAAGAGATGAAAACCACAGTACAAATGAAAGACACAGCTTTTACAGGGTAAGGCAAAGCCCTCTCTTTTAATAGAAGCCAGAAAGATGGGTGCAAGTGTAGACATGTGAACTGAATGGGGTTTTACTGTTTGGAGTATGATAACTGTAGGAAATGGGGCCATTAGAGGTCCATGTTACATTTGTATTGAATTGAGCAGAATGATTAGCTGAAAATAAAGGAGACACGGATTTCTGTGTGAGAGTCAAGAAAGAGGACCAAGTATCAAATTGTTTTATCTAACAGATAGATTTATCTTCCAGTGACCCAGGTGGACTCATTACACTTTGAAAATTTCTAGTTAGAAATCCAAACAGAGGGCTGGAGCGATGGCTCAGCCATTAAGGGCTAGGCTCACAACCAAAAATATAAGAAATCCAAACAGATACTGGTCAGCTTAACAGCAATGGACTTTTATTGTTTGGCTGGCTGGCTAGCTGGCTGGCTGGCTGGCTGGTTGGTTGGTTGGTTGGTTGGTTGGTTGGTTGGTTGGTTGGTTGGTTGAGATATGGATGGATGGATGGATGGATGGATGGATGGATGATAGATAGATAGATAGATAGATAGATAGATAGATAGATAGATAGATATCGGAATCTAGCAATGCAGGTAAGAGAAGGTGGAGAACAAGGTTCATGAAGAGTAAGTGTAGTGAATAAAGCAAGGGAGAATTGTAAATAAGGGAGGTTAGGACTAAATGTTGGAAGCAGGAGAGCTAGAGTGTGGAAAATAAGATTTCTGTACTTCAAAGCTGCATGGTAATGGACAGCGGTGAGCAAGTTAGAAATATGAGGCATGTTGGTGGATGAAGCCTGAGGATGTGGTGAGGACCAGCCAGGCTATAAGAGTCCAAATGTGAATGCTAATAACTTGTACTAAAAAACAGATTGGAGAAATACCTATAAAAGGACAAAATTGGATGCATCTGTGAAGGTAGGTGAATAGTCATTGGAAATGTCCTGAATGCTGTGCTGTCTAGTGTGAGAAGAGATGGATGGATGGATGGATGGATATGGATGGATGTGGATGGATATGGATGGATGGATGGATGGATGGATGGATGGATGGATGGATGGATGGATGGTACATCCAGTGCAAGGGACCTTTAGAGGTCAAAGTGATGTTCAGATTCCATCACACACATTATTAAAATACTTTACCTTATTTAACATCTCTTGAAATGTTCTTAGGCTAATAAAATATAACTTTTATATTTGACTTTTCCATGTTTGTATGAATATTTCCTAAATATAATTGTCTTAAGTATAATTGTTCATTTTGGATATCCTTTCTAAAATTAAATAAAGGTTGTTTGCTGGAAATGTTCTGACTACAAAGCTCAACTTGAGTATGATGGTGGAAGACTGAACAAAGTCTGTAAAGACTGTTACCAAATAATAAGTGGATTCACAGACAGTGAAGAGAAGAAGAGAAAGGGGATTTTGGAGGTAAATTAGTCAATTCTTTGTGGTTTTGGATGGCACTGTCTTGGTCATAAGGATCACGGACAATGTGCTTATTCTCTTTGGTTAGCACCAGGTTAACAGTGAGCAACAGTCATGCTTTTGCTTTGCTTTGTTGGCCTTGGACTCCTCCTGCCCAATTATAGAAAATGAGATGCACAGATGAGTACATGTTTTCTTCATAGAACGCTTTCAGTTTTGTAATATGTTAATGTTGAAAAACACTGCATGAAAGTTTTCCAGTTTGGGTAAAGAACTGTTTTATTATCTAAAGCACTTCAGCTTGCTGTGTTAAATGACCAGTTCTTTGCGGTGATGTAATAGCCAGAAAAGGAGTTTCATCACAGCATCACTGTCAAAGGCCATCTCCAGGAAGTTTGACTCATATTTTAGAGTTAATTCAAACTAAAGTAGCTTGTATCCGAAATGGATTTACATTGAAAGATGTGGTGGGAAAATAAGGGTAATTTGTTTAATAAAGCCTTGTGGTCGTAAGGCCAAGATCACTCAGCAGTAGAATTAAACTTTTTGCATTCAAATTCATGAATATACTTAAGTTTATTAATAATATTGTGTACTGAGAATTTCCAAGAAAATATACAAGTCATTTGTTAGCTGTGAAAGGACCTTACACGTCAATGTCCATTTGAGGTTAAATTACAAGTCCTCATACTAAAATTATAATTCTAAATTGTCTTAGCATATAGGTATTACTTGTATTACATAAAGATGACGCTTTCATAGGCAGCAGGAATAGGAAGATATTCTTCATTGAATCCCAGAACCACAACCTCAAGGTTTTAATAGAAATAACTGACTTGTGTGACAAAGTGCATTGAGTCTGATACTGTTTTTCTTTGTAAATAAAAAGTTTAGGTTGCTTCTACAAAATAAAAAATCTTTAGCTTTTTGTCTTGGGGAGAAATCATCAACTGGATTGGTTCATGTAATCAAACAAAAAGTGTTGTCTCTGGAAGTAGAAGGTAGCATGCCCATGCACATGTAGAACATGTGTGAGCCTTTACCCTGTGCCAGCTATTAAACTGGGTACTGTAGAACAGTAGTCAGGCTTTCTGTAAACAAATCAGAGCATTTACAGACGTATTTTAAGGGAGAAAGCAAATTTTTATAGACAAAACTTGTGGTTTTTAACTCAGTGTATTTGTAAATTCTTTTTCTACTTTTGTATGTTTCTATAGTTTGTGTGTCTGCATGTTCTTACGTGTGGGAACACCCATGTTTGAGGTGTGTATTTGTGCATACATAGGCCCCCTGCTGACATCAGGAATTATCCTCATTGTTTCTCCCACCTTACTCATTGAGGCAGAGCCTCTCAAGCAAACCCAGAGCTCAGAGTGTGCTGGGGCTAGTCTTGCTAGCCAGCGAGCTCCTGGGTGCCCAGTGTCTCCACCTTCCGAGGTTCGAAGTATCAACAGGTCACCATGTGGGTTTCTGGGTCTAGAACTCCTGTCCTCACATTTGCAGGACAAGCGTTACCTGCTGAGCCATCTCCCCAACCCTGTAAGCTTCTTTCTGTCCTTTCAAACTGCTGCACCCTTGTTCACATTTTTTTCAATGAAAAATTTCCAAAATATGAATTTTTGTGATTTGGATCTGTTACTAAGAACTAACCTTTTTGAGGGTGAATGGTATGTTTCCTATCATCACATTGGTTATAAACATCCAGCTGTTAAGTTGTTAGCTTATGGAATATTCAAAAACCAGTGGTGGACTGGAGCTGACTTGCAGATTGTCATTTGGTTGATATTTCTTAAACTACCTTGGGCCACACCCAAATCATCACTTATCCATGAATATCAGTGATCATGCACTCTCAATCAGGGTTCTCTAGTGCAGGGTTCTCAGCCTTCCTAATGCTTCAACCCTGTGATACAGTTCCTCGTGTTGTGGTGACTCCCAAAAATGAAGTTATTTTTGTTGCTACTTTATAACTGTAATATTGCTACTCTTATGAATCATACTGCAAATATCTGTGTTTTCTGGTGGTCGTAGGCAACCCCTGTGAAAGGGTTGTTTAACACCAGGGGCTCACAACCCACAGGTTGAGAACCACTGCTCTAGAGGAACAGAGCTGGTAAAAATTAATGTGGATGATACAATCAAGCTGGGTAGCCCAAAAAGGGCCATCTGTATACGGAAGAGGCTGAAATAACCTGATAACATTCAGTTCACTACCTCAACAGTCCCAGGCTAGCCCTGAAGGCCTGGCTGGTTCTTAGGAAGGTGCTGATCTCAGGTCAGGTTAGAAGCTAAGAAGCTAGATTCCAGAGTTAGCAAAAAATAACAACTGCAGCAACCATAGGAGACATGCCGTCACCAGCAAGAAGGGAAGGCAGCCAAGCAGCACTCCTTGCCTCTGGCCATGGAGTGTGTGAGCTGCTTCCCGTGGGAGAAGGGTCTTCTCAGTTTAGTCATTCATGGAAATACCAGCAGACCTGCCCAGAGTCCTGTGTCCTAGTTAATACCAGGTACGTTTGGGTTGGCAGTCAAGGTTAAATACCACAAGTACCATCAAAAAGCCAAATGGCTTTGAAATTTCCCTTCATTTTTGTTGTTGTTGCTGTTTTGAGACAGTGTCTCACAAAGCCTCAGCTGGCCTTGACTTTAGCCAAGAGTGACCTTGGACCTCTGCTCCTTCCCCTCCACCTCCCAAGTGCTGGATATAGGCACACAGCACCATGCCTGGTTTGTGTATTGTCGTTTGAGGAGTTTGGGAAGAAAATGTTACATTTCCCCCAATGACTTACATTTTTTATTTCTAACCCCATGTTATATAAGAGGCTACATCTGAAAAAGTATTTTTAATTTCATAAATATAGCTTAGTAGGATTTTTTTTTTGCTTTCTTTGTGTAAGTGCCTATACCTTGTTTGGACTCTGACCGTTTATAGGAAAGTTTGCTGACTACTATTCTGGGCATATATTAGCTGGCACAAGTAAGACTTCCCAGTACATTTACTTGTATATTTGCACACCCTTCTCTCTTACATCTTTGTGTCCCATGAACAAAACTGAATAGCACTACCCAAGTTTTTACATAGGAATAGAAGCAAAACAGATTAGTTCTAGTAAAGTATTTTAGTTAAACATTTCTGTTCCCCATTTATCCAGTACTTAACATATTAGTAAGCAAAGCGGAAAACCAAGTTGCTTTTCAAAAACTTGCTCCAGTGAGATGCTTCTAATTACAACCCTATGACTACAAAGGCCACACATCTTGCCTTTTTTTAGTTTATATTCTTGCTTTATCAGAACATTAGAGCTGTAGGTTCAGTGTCTTGATTCAGGATGACTGAGCTCAAATTCTAGCACACCAAATTATAAATTTGTATTCTTGGAGAATCTGATTAAAAACTCTGAGCTTGGGAAGCCTGCATGGGACTGAACTGGGCCCTCTGGATGTGGGTGACAGTTAAGTGGCTTGGTCTGTTTGTGGGATCCCTGGCAGTGGTAGTAGAATTTATCCCTGGTACATGAACTGACTTTCTGAAGCCTAATCTCTGTGGTGGGATACCTTGTTCAGCCTTAATGCAGGGAGGAGGGACTTGGTCCTGCCTTAACTCAATATGCCAGGCTTCCTTGACTCCCCATAGGAGGCTTTACCCTCTCTGAGGAGAGAATGGGGGTGGGGGAGTGGCAGGAGGGGAGAGAGGAGGAACTATGGTTGGTATATAAAATGAATAAAAAAATTAAAATTAAAAACAAATCTTAGAACTACAAAAAACAATGAAAGCACTTTATTTCTCAGTGTTGGTGTGAAAAATGCGTCGCTCAAGCAAAAAGAAAGTGTATAGTGTATGGTCAATAAACATTGACTATTTAAGCACAGAGTCTAGTAATATAGGGAGTTAAAGATGACCTCAGTAGGTTTTCATCTTATGATTGAGAAAAACTGGTCAATGCAAATATATCTTTTTGGAGGGTGACTCTAGGAAACATGTTATGTAAATACACCAAAGTTTATAAATATTTCCCTTAAGACATGTTTCGTCCCTATCTGATTTATTACACTTATTATTTCTCTGCATTGTACTTTATAGATTGAATCAGCAGAAGTATCAGGAAATAGTGAGGTGTGCAGTTTTCTCCAGTACATGGAGAAGTCAAAACCGTGGCAGAAAATATGGTGTGTGATCCCAAAGCAAGACCCCCTTGTGCTGTACATGTATGGTGCTCCTCAGGTAAGTAAGGCAAGTGTGTTTGAATGGCATGGCCAGGACAGAGGGAGGCATGTGGACACTGATCCCCAGGAAAGCAAAAGAGCTCAGGCTGTGTCACTATGTCCCATCAGTTTTAAAATAATGAAAAGTAATCAGTTTTGCTAATTTAAACTGATAGTTCTTTTTATAGTTGCCTGTCATTTCTTGATAAATCATTAGTCCATTTTTGTCCTTGTTCTTATTTGGTTGGTGTGAGAAAAGGGAGTTGAGTAAGGAGCACAGGCGTGAGTACGCGGGAAACGGAACAGGGAAATAAAGAGGGGGCGAGCCGTTTGCAATGATAGGAGACCCGGAGACATTTGTGATGGTTTTATTTGTTGACAGTGATGGAGACTAAGGACAAGGTAGTCTGAAAGGAAGAGGGAGTTGGCATATCTTGGATTAATATTAGTCTGTATCAAGTTGGGGCCCACTCTCACGCCAGTTTAGCTTCCAGCACATGCCAGAACCTGGTATATAGATTGTTTTGCTTTGAAAGTGATAAACATGTAAACCAATTATACACTCATTTACTTTGAAAACATAAAGAATTACATTTTTCAGATTTTAGCTTCATCTACATCAAAAACTAATAATTTTTTTAGAAAATCCCTTAAAATGCCAAGAGTATACATTTTCTTCTACTTTTCTGTTTTTCCTATCCATAAGTAACTTGAATGGCTCATTAAAGATGGTATCATTGTTAATTCTTAGCAACACCTGCTGACTTGACTGTTAAGAGGCTGTTCTTCACCTCCATCTCATCTCTTCGCTAAGGGGAGAACTGTGCAGGCTCAGAATGAGCTCCCACAGGAGCAGGCGGTGCAGCAGTACGTCCTGGCTCATCTGGCATTAGCTCTACTTTATTCCTTATATTCTGTCTGTGATCGTTGATCCCACAGACACTAACTCATTCTCTGTCCAAAGGGAGTTCATAGAGTGAGGATCTGGGGGACAGTAGTCAGAAGAGAGTTTCCTAGTGGCAAGGACCACATGTAACTCTGTAACAGTATGTCTTATACTCATGTGTACATTGTCCATTGCTTAGGACGTCAGAGCCCAGGCAACCATACCACTCCTGGGCTACATTGTGGATGACATGCCAAAGAGTGCAGATCTGCCACACAGTTTCAAGTTGACCCAGTCCAAGTCTGTGCACAGCTTTGCTGCTGACAATGAGGAACTGAAACAGAAATGGCTGAAAATCATCCTTCTAGCTGTCACAGGTGAGACACCAGATGGCCCAAGTGAGCATCTAGCCACCTTGAATGATCTCCCTGGACCAAAGAAAAAGTCAGAATGCTAAACTCCAACCGCTGCCAGTGTGGATCTCAAGTAAGACAAATAGCTCAAGACATCCCAACGCTGCTTCCTCGTCTCTTAGCACTTTACATTGCGAGATAAGATTTCATAAATTCATCTTTTGGGGACTTTTTAAATATGTTTGTATACTCTTAGTAAAATCAATGTGCAGAGCCATTCTTCTATTGAAGTTCTGAAATAATGTAGAAAGTAGAACACTTTTGATAAGCTATTCCTTAACTGTGTACACTGGCCTTGGGGTGGTGGCAGGGGAACCATTGTCAATTGAGTGTATCACTACCTGGTCATAATGGGCCTTTCGTTTAAGAAATCCTGCAATGTCTCGTTCACGTGTAGGACTTGTGACAGTGTGAAAGATATACCTCCATGTAACCAAAATAGATCTATGGTAAAAAGTACAGGGACAGTTTAGAGTATTGTATGAACTTGTCTACATGGTTTCTGTTCTTATACATCACAAAAAAAAATAGGTTGTTGATGTTTATACTTTTTAACTTAATACCTGTTTTTGTAAAATTACTCCTAATAATGAAATAGCTAAAATATAAATCAATTTACTTGTATATAGTATTGAAAATAAGTATGAACATGTGAGCCTTTCTCGTCAGCTTTAGTTTCATTTCACTCCGGTTCATTTTTTAAATATAAAACCTATTTTATCTCTGAACTCAGCACTGTTCTAAACTTAAGAAAACTTTTTGATAATTTATGTTGAACTGATTGGAATCCAAATGTATTGATATTTTTATAGTAAAAAAGCAGTAATCTATGTGGTGTAGGATATAGTTTGAATTCCAACAGTATTTTTAGAGTACTATTTTTTTTTGTTCTGTACCTATTTAAATCAGTGCCTCTCTTAGAAGGTGCTATTAATACTTAGATAAAAGATGAGGGTTTAGTTAATGTTAACTAAACATTATTATTTTACCAACTCTGATTATTCTCAATTTAAGTGCACTTTGGTCACTGAGATAAAAAATTATATGGATTATTTTACATTTCACAATAACATAATTGTCTTAGTAATTCAATGTCAGCATGTACAAAAACATTTACTAAAACTTGAACTGTATAAGACAAATACAGACCTGGGATGTGTGGAAAACATTTGTTTAATGTTTAATGTTTTCCTTTCCATAAGACTATTAATGATTAAATAAGGACTACATATAATGAACACTTAAGATAACTATGGGCTTTCTTTTTGTTGGTGCCAACTTACTTAGGAGAAGGAGTCACTAAGTAGGTAGCAGAGGGGATTTCTGAGTAAATCATTCGCCTGGAAAGAGCTGCAGTCAGTACTGCAGACTCAACCGTGGCAGCTTCCCAGGACATGAGAAGCACTGAAGAAAGCAGAGAATAGTTCTCCCTTTTTAGCCCCCGTGGAACCTCAGATGAAATATGGCTGTCTATTATAAATATAAAGTCTGCTCTTTGTTAGTTTGTGACTAAAATCTCACGTTGAATTGACGATTTAACTTTTAATACTTCTCAGAGGGGTTTTTCTCACTTTCCTGTACTCTAAACATACCACTTTAACTGTACTGTTTACTAGGAATCCATCCGAATGTCTCTGCTACACAAGGTCTTTAAGGGCTACACTTGAGATGTACAGTACGGTTACTCAGAATTGGAGATCACCACACATTTATACAGCTCATGCTGCATAAGAAATCTCTCTTGTTTTTTCCTACTCCAAAGGAGTAAGGGAACCGATTAGGTTCCCTTTGTCCATGAAATACCAGACATGATCATTAACATTAAACCATCTATTCAGAGACACTAGTAGGAGAAACAAAAGAGTGACTTCTTATTCCCTACTAAATGAGGGCCAAATAAAAAGAAACTGCACATTGTTTCTTTTTTCTAGTTGTCAACATTGGTACTGCATTTGGGTGGTAGAAAAAGAGACGGGTGTTCAGGGTACCTGTTGATAAAATTAAACAATAGATAGACGTGTTATTTTACTTTTAATATCTCAAGAAAAGAGAAATAGTAAAAATTTAGAGTGACTATCAGAATAAAGATTACTTTTGTAAATATGAATAGAATAAATGAATGGGATATCCCACTTAGAAGATTTATGTCATATTATTTTTAAAAAAAATTGATCAGCAAGACTACATGTTTGCCTACCAGTAAATTCTTGAATATATGTAATGTGGATAGACACTCAGTGTTGTTCAACTTAGATTATCGAAAGAATACTCATAAAAGGATGTCAGCATGCTCCTATGGTTCATTAAATAAGGAATGTCAGTGCCAGAGAGGATCTGTGGCCATTCCAGTCACCCACTTCGCTGCCCTCCCATACCCTTAGCCAAGCACAGTGAGTGGCTGTCCCCATCTCTCGCTCTCAAAAGAATCCCTAATACTCTCGGTACAAGAAAAGTAATAGAATTGTATTAATTACTTATTAAAAACTCAACTCTGGGGCTAAGAAGACTTCTATGCAAGGGTGAAAAACAATTCAGTCATATTTCCAAAACCCACACAAAAGCCAGGTGAGCGTGGCCCGGCACAGCAGAGACAGGGGCAGGAAACATTGGTGCAGATTCACTAGCCAGACAACCAAAGCAGCCTCGGTACGTGAAGTAGAGAGGTGCCAGGGAAGTCACCTGACATGAGAGTCAGAGCTCTACACATATGCACAACTACCTAACTGTATGTGAGCACATGCATGGATAGTGGGCATGTATGCACATATTCAAAAGATTAATTCAAATAAAATCTAATCCAAGAGGTTATTAGAATAATTAACCCCTTTCTGAGATAACTAAGGTTTCGTGATAAATTGAGCCTGAAAATATCAGTTGTTTTCCTATTCAAATAAATGTTCTTTATGGTTCTTAATGTGTTGCCTTTTCTAGTTCAGTGCTTTCAAAAGTCATCTTCAAGAGAAGTGTCCTTCTTTGAAACTTAAGAAACTATTTATTTGATAATACTGTTATTCATTCAAAGTATTCCAAATTTTCAACTTAAATGCTGCTTTGTTGAAAGTCTACCACTTTGTAAATGTGAGATGGGATGCACACTTTTATCTTGAGTTTTAAATGGAACTCAAAGAAAAATGCCACTAGCCACTTTTATAATAATGCCAAGCAATAAAACTCTCCAGGTGTGAGTTCAAGGCCCTAAGCCACATCATATAGAGAACCAACTTCCTAGGAGTGATAGGGTGATTGAAATTGCTGAGCACAGGGAAAGGGATGGGACACATTGCGCCATGGCTGCAGATGCTGTCAACTGGCTTTAATTTTTACAAAGGATACCTGTAGTGAAGCAGTTCGTTTCTTCTGGACTGTTTTATCAGCTCTGTTGGGTTTTCTATGACTTCATTTCAACAGAAAAGCTGCCATGCTATCTTCACTGGGTGACTTGCACCATCTTTTTTAATTATAAGGGTTGACCTTATAAATGTTTCCTGTAGAATTTTCTAAACAACATACTTGTTGCAGTCAAAACTGTTCAAAAAAAAAAAACCTGTAAATTCCATGGTATTTCAGGGTTATTGAAGAGTCATTGATGCCTTCTAAAACCTTTTCCCAAAATTATTTCTGGAATTCATGATTCTGTTTTCTTTCTCCTCTTTGTTGGGTTAAAGGTGGTTTCTCTCTTTCATTTATTTTCAGATGACATTTGTTTATCTCCTAAGCTTAAGTTGTCCATAACATTTTGTCTGCAATGCATTGTTGATCATGAGCTCTCTGCAGTGTGTTGTCATAGCAAGTGAGCATGAATAAGAGCAGATGAATGTCTAGGAAGCTGGGGCTAGAGAGATGTCTCAGAGGTTGAGAGCACTGGCTCTCTTACAGAGTCCTGAAGTCAATTACCAGCAACCACATGGTGGCTCACAACCATCTATAATGGGGTCTGGTGCCCTCTTCTGGCATAAAGGCATACATGGAGGCAGAGCATTATATATATAATAAATAAATAAACCCTTAAGAAAAATGTCTAGGAAGCACAGGTCTTATTTGGCAATTATCTCTGCTTTATATAGAGTAGAAGATAACTTTACTTTCCTGCATCACATGATGTTCATGTTAGTACTAAGATAAGCACATGGTATTTATAATCTAAAATGAGAAAAACAGGAATACCTTAGTGTTTTTGTTTTTTAGTGTTGTATTCTTCAAGAGTGTATTAATATACGAACTGTGGCTAAAGACTTCTTGTTAGAATTATGTTGATATCTGTAGTGGATCCTGTAACTTCTTCATTCTTAGTTTCATTAGAATCAAATTATTTTTTTTCATATAACAATCAAGCTATAGGTTCCCTAGATTTTTTTAAATGAGTATTAGACCACTAGATCTATCTAAAAACTCTGTTTGTGACTTTATATGCACATGTATGAATGTAGAAAATATATTAATCTTCAATTCTCACCAAAGGAACAAAATGTTATGTAAATTTTAATTTAAGTATTTTAACAAAAGCTTTGTACATGTATTTAATGTTATAATTCATTTTTACACATGCCCCTCAATCTTGCTAGGTTACAGGAAGAGACAATGTTGCTTTTGTTACAAGTATATAGAGAGAAATGAGGTTAGCAACGGAAACAACACAGAATGAGTGGAGATGAGTAAGTGGACTATTGGTGTCCAGGGAAGAGCAACATATAAAACACTGAACTGTGCAAGGGAAATCAAGTAGAAGATTACCATGTACTTATTTGTTGATGAAATCCTTGCACCCAGACTTTGTTTGACCTTAGCCTCTAAATTATAGATGATGCTATCTTATTATTACTTAATTTTTTCCTCTAATTTTTTAAAAACAGTTTCCTTCTGTAAATGATTTTCTGCTGGTTTTGGCTCTAAATTCAACTTTCTAAGCTAAGGGCATGGCCAAATGCTGTGTCTTTTCTGTATTTCAAGATAAAATAACACATGACCTCTTCAAGACAGTTAATTTGTTGGGGGAGATGACTGAAAGTTACATGAAGGTTATCCTTTGTCCTAAAATTCATTGTGGTCAACTTAATAAAATATTAAGTCATATTTTAGTATATTTTAATAAGTGAATACTAAATACAAAATAAAGACAATTTTGAGAAGAAACAGGCCATAGAGCCATTGTGATGACAGAATATATCATAGGTACCATTAGCATATAATCATTCATATATAAAACCAAACTGGTATTTCATCTTTTAAGAGACAATTAACTATTATTAAAAAATAAATATTATCTTGATTTTTCTTTGGACTTCTTGGCTGAGTTTGAAAGGGCATTTCAGAATAGTATAGTTGACGCTAATGTGAAAATATAAACACCCAATTTTCTAGTGGTATGAATGTAAAATACTTGGACATAGTGTATATATAGTATAACATCTGTATATTTGATCATAAAGACATAATTGAAAACATTGTAAAATTAAGTCTTCAATTCTTGTTAAATATGAAACATTTGTATCTTGTAAATAAAGACATCCTTAAATTGGTTCTGGGACCTTGGCTGTTATTTCCACTAGGGTTGTATGTATTCGGTATGCATGATTTTGATTTTCTGATCAGAAAATTGTTATTCCAACAGGATATTGATACTTCCAGTTTCTAGTCATCAAAAACCTAAAGAAAATCCTAAGAAACTTCCAATGTGATGCACAAATAAAACTTCTCCGGAGATTACATTTTATGTAATTTTATCAACTTTTTTAGACCACAAAGAACTAATTCACAATTTATCAAGCACTATATAAAAGCATCTGCCTTCAGCTGAAGGATTACTTACAATAAACATAGCTCTTGGCCCATCAACAATGCTTGCTTGGATTTATGATTTTCTGGGTGGAAATGTGTAGAGAGTTCCAGTAGGTGCTAATTAAGGACTTCTCAAACTTTGTACAGGGCATAGTGTTAAAATGGAAACTGTGACTTAGCAGACCCATGGCAGAATTTTATCTGTCCTCGATCGGGCTGCTGCTCCTCAAAAGATTATGAACAGCAGGGAGCTTGTAGTAGAAAGGGCTTTGTCAGGGAGAGCTGACTAGAAACCCTGGTTCTGTCATTTATTGGTGTGACATCAGACATAAACTTCTCAAAGAACAGTGTGCCACAGACGACACAAAATGTATTACCTGGTCCATATGAGGCATTGGCTCCTTATTGCTAATATTAAAGATCATTTAGTTAATGCAAAAGTTTGCAGATCGTGACAGTATGACATGATCCACCTGGACACCATTTAAACAGATTGACGTCTTAGACCCACCCTCAAATTCCAGAACTCTTGAGTTAGGCTCTGAATAGCAGTGGTTTAAAAATTCCTCATGTAGGAAAATATTTCAAAATACAGGTATACTTAGGGGCTTTCTGAATAGTACTCCAGTAGCCCAGAAAATAATAGCAAGAAATGACAAGTGGAATTTAATGCTATTTTCAAACTTCTGCAGAGAACAATGGAATGATTAAGCAACCGAAGAGGGAACAAAATCTTTGCTAAATAATCACCTGACAAGAGAGTAATGTTCAGAGTACATAAGGACTTAAAAATGCCCTCCAACTACTTCGCTCACTACTTCTCTCTCACAGTCTACTGTCCCTGTCTCCACAGTTCCTCGTTCCTCATTCCCTGCACAGTGATGAATTCTGATTCTACAGCAGTCACCACCTACTGCAAAACAAGCTTCTATTTAGCTGGGTAGTGCCAGCACTCGGGAGGCAGAGGCATGTGGCTCTCTGAGTTCGAGGCCAGAAGGGCTACACAGAGAAACCCTGTCTCAAAAAAAAAAAAAAAGCTTATATTTTAAGATGTCCTAAAAAATCAATTTGACTGAAATAAAACAGGAACTCCAAAATAGCAATTATGAATATGTTCAAAGGATATATGTGTTTTATATGTTTAAAGAGGGTTAAAAAAAAGCCTCAGTGAAGACGTGAAAACACAGTTGAATGAAATAAGGAAAATAACTCATATATGAAAGCAGAATTTAACAAAGAAATAAAATCACTAAAAAAAGCCAAAGTGGAATAAAACTTGAAATGGACTACTAAGAAGTCAAACAAAAACCTTGTAAGTAAGTATCACCAACAGGTTAAGAGACACAGAGAAGAAACTTAATAGTATTGAAGATAAGGTAGAGGAAATGGACAGCTTGGTCAAAGAAAATGGCAAATCTAAAAACAACCCAGGCAAAAACATCCAGGAATTCTCAGAAAATATAATATAAAACACCTCTGAATAATGAAGAAGAAACTCAAGTAAAACTCACAAAAAGTATTTTTAACACAATTATAGAATAGTCTCTAAAGTAAGAGATGCCTGCTAAGATTCAAGAGGCATACAGAACACCAAATAAGCAAGACCAGAAAAATTCTCCATGACATAATCTAAACACTAAATGTAATTGAACAAAGAATGGTAAGATCTGCAAGGGGAAAAGACCAAATCATGTATAAAAGTGGGCCCATTACAAGAACACCTGGCTCTGGTCAGCTGATTCTGTGGTTTCCCCATCATGGTCTTGACTGCTCCACACTGTCAAGTGGGAACCTGCATAGGACTGAACTCTAGGTAGGACCCCTGAATACATGTGACAATGGTGCAGCTTGGGCGGTGTATGAAGCCACTGGTGGTGGGACTATGATCTAACTATACTGCATAAAGTGACTGTGAAGCTCATTCTCTACGAAGAAATACCTTGTTCAACCTACACATGGGGGTAGGGGACATGGTCCTGCCTCCACGAAGTGATGGGACAGACTTAGTTGACATCCTAGGGGAGGCGTTGCCCTCTCTCTGAGGAGCAGATGAGAGGTGGGATGGGGGAAGGAGGGGAGAATGGAGGAGAGGAAGGAGGGATTGAAATGTAAAAATGAGTAAATAAATACAAAAAAAGAACACCTGGCTTTTCAGTGGAGACTTTTAAAGCCAGAAGGGCCTGAATAGATGTTATATAATCTCTGAAAGAGCACAGATGCCAGCCCAAAGTATATACAAAACAAAATTATCTATCACCGTCGACAGAAAGAAAAACATTTCATGATAAACAAATGTAAATTTCTATCCAGCAATCCATCTCTACAGAAGGCACTACTAGGAAGATCTCAGTCTAAAGAGGTTAGTTACACTCTAGATGACACAAGGAATTCTGAGAATGAGTGTGTGTGTGTGTGTGTGTGTGTGTGTGTGTGTACATATACACATATATCCAAGATACATATATACCTGAGAATAACTCTGGCCAAACAAGTGCAAGATTGTATAGTGAAAACTGTAAGACATTGAAGAAAAAATAGAAAATGGAAAGATCTCCCATGCTCATGAATAAGTAGGATTTATATAGTGAAAATGCTTGTACTACCAGAAACAATTTACAGATTCAATGCAATCCCTACCAAAATTCTAATACAGTTCTTTCTTTTATAATTTATTTACTCATTTAAATTTCATTTTACGTTTCAACCACAGTTCTCTCTCCTACCCTTCCTCCCACCCCCCTCACCTACTCCCCAACCCACCCCCAGTCCACTCCACTCCCATGAGTAGTCTGGCCCGGTAAGCTGGGGCAAGGCCAAGCCCCTCTCCCATTCATTAAGACTGAGCATGGCATCCCAACATAGCGAATGGGCTCCAACAAGCTAGTTCGTATACCAGGTTTGTATCATGATCCTACTGCCAGGAACCCCTCAGCACATTCAAGCTTCACAACTGTCTCCAACATATGGAAGGCCCATGGAGACTCCATAGTTGTTGGTCTAGGCTTCAGGACTTTCCACAAGCTTCGTTCAGCAGTTTCTGGATTTCTCCATCATGATCTTGACCTCCCTTGCTCATGTATTTCCTCCCCCCCCCTCTCTTTGATTGGATTATCTTAGTTCAGCCTGGTGCTTGGTTGTGGATCTCTGCATCTGGTTCCATCAATTACTGGATGAGAGCTCTATGATGACAGTTGGAGTATTCACCAATCTGATTGCAGGGGTAGGCCAGTTCAGGCATCCTCTCCACTATCGCTAGGAGTCTTAGCTGGGATCATCCTTGTGAATTATTGGGAGTTACCCTAGCACCAGGTTTCTCCCTAAGCCCACAGTGACTCTCTATATTAAGATATCTCTTTCATTGCTCTTCCACTGCATCCCTCCCCACCTTGGCCATCTCATTCCCTTCTGTTCTCATGTCCCTCCCATCCCCCTTACCACTGTCCACCGCAATTTACTCTGTAGATCTCATCTAATTTCCCTTCTCAGGGTGATCCATGCATTCCTCTTAGGGTGCTTTTTGTTACCTAGCTTCTTTGGAGCTGTTTGCTTTACATCTAATATCCACTTATGAGTGAATACACAATGTGTTTGTCTTTCTGGATCTGGGTTATCTCACTCAGGATGATTTTTTCTAGTTCCACCCTTTTATCTTCAAAATCATGAGATCATAATTTTCTACAGATGAGTAGCACTTCATTGTATAAATGTACATTTTCTTTATCCATTATTTCATTGAGGGGCATCTAGGTAGTTTCCAAGTTCTGGCAAATAATGCTGATATGAACATTGTGAAGCAAGTATCCTTGTGGTATGATTGAGCATCCTTTGGGTAAATGTCCAAGAATAGTATCTGTGGGTCTTGAGGTAGATTGACTCCATTTCTTTATCCATTATTTCATTGAGGGGCATCTAGGTAGTTTCCAAGTTCTGGCAAATAATGCTGATATGAACATTGTGAAGCAAGTATCCTTGTGGTATGATTGAGCATCCTTTGGGTAAATGTCCAAGAATAGTATCTGTGGGTCTTGAGGTAGATTGACTCCATATTTTCTTAGAAACCGCCATACTGATTTCCAAAATGGCTCTACAAGTTCTCACTCCCACCAATAGTGGAGGAGTGTTTCTCTGATTCCACATCGTCTCCAACATTAGCTGTCCTCAGTATTTTTGATCTTTGTTATTCTGGCAAGAGTAAGATGGTATCTCAGAGTCATTTTGATTTTCATTCCCCTGATGATTAAGGACGTTGAGCGTTTCCTTAAATGTCTTTCTGCCATTTGAAATTGTTCTGTTGAAAATTCTCTGTTTAGCTCTCTACCCCATTTTTAATTGGGTTATTTTGTATTTTGATGTCTAGTTCCTTGAGTTTTTTATGTATTTTGGAGATCAGCTAGCCCTCTGTCAGATGTGAGGTTGGTGAAGATCTTTTCCCATTCTGTAGGGTGTTGTTTTTATCTTATTGACAGTGTCCTTTGCCTTACAGAAGCTTTTCAGTTTCAGGAGGTCCCATTTACTGATTGTTTCTTTCAGTGTCTGTACTACTGGTGTTATATTTAGGAAGTGGTCTCCTATGACAATGTGTTCAAGACTAATTCCCACTTTTTCTTTTATCAGGTTCAATGTAGCTGCATTTATGTTGAGGTCCTTGATCCACTTGGATTTGAGCTTTGTGCATGGCGACAGGTATGTATCTATTTGCAATCTTCTACATGTTGACATCCAGTTATGCCAGCACCATTTG